CTGGTCGCTGAGGTGGAGGCGCTGGTGCAGGGGCGCCTGGCTCCGCCATGCACGCTGTGTCGCAGGTGGCGTGGGCAGCCTCCCACGCCGAGCGTGGCCGCCGCTCTCCACGGAGCGCCCGTGGGTGCTTCCCGGGAGCCAAAACGGGCTCTGGGATGAATAAAACGTACACTTAAAGTAGAAGTTAGCAGCACCTGCCTGTGCTCTCAGCTGTGAGACTGTGTAGGTGTAGCAGCCTTGAGTTGTGTCCTGCTCGGTGCGCAGTCATCTTACGGAAACCCTCTTCTGCAGAGTGAAAGAGCTGTCACTTAAAATAACCCGTTTGTTGATTCCCCCCCTCCCCCCTAGTCAATAGTACTACCCGCTCCAATGGTCTTCCTTTGTTCTGCAAATGATAAGCTTTTACCCCAAACGGTGGAACTTGATGTATGTCTGTATTTTCTCCCCTCCCTCATTTCAGTGAAGAACTTGGAAACCGGCAGAAGCACTCCAGGAGTAAAGATGTTTTTTGGCCGTGAAATTATCGATGGTGAGGCTTTTCTTACCGCGTTTTGGGGTACAGGGATCATGCCCACTCTTAGTTCAGCATTTTAAATCCATTTTTTTGGTCATTCTGCTAAATTCTTCAGTTGCACATCTTTATTCTAAAATCAGGAGGAATTAGAATGTTTTATAAATCACACAACTTTCGTTCCCCAATTATCTCTCAGTGAAATAATAATTCCCTACTTTGTGAAGGTCTTGTGGCTGTACTGCGTTAAAGCTTATTAATTAAATAATAAATGAAGTCCAATAAGACCACTAATGAAAGTAACCACTCCGAAGGTGATCAGTTGAGATAAGCGTGTCCCCCCCTTTACGTCCTAAAGGCAAGTTACATTCATCGTGTATGTTCTTACATGTGCAAGACTTTCACTAATGGACTCTGCTGGGAAGTTAAATTGCTTAAAGTCCTAGTTAACTTGGGTTTGCTTTTATTGGCACACTCAAAAGCACCTCTATTAAATGGTCTGTTTATCTGAGCCGCTTTCCGTGATTCACTAGTGATAAGAATATGGGATTATTTAAGAAAAACATTTCTAGCGTATAAAGGTCCTGTGCTTTTCTATTGGCGTCTGCTTTGCTTTGGGGACAAGGAGCAAAGTGCTGAGGGGGAAGTAGCTAGAAGGTAGCTATTGGACTTACCAACTGATTAACTGACTCCATTCTGCCTTTTTCCTTGTACCTGCTTTATTGTATATGTAATAGTCTGTAAAATAATTAGTTGTACTTCAATACTGACTTTGTTTTTGTTGGTATGCTAAGCCATTAGTCTTGCTTAAATGCTAGAGTTCTGAAATACACCTTATCTAGGCTACTGATATAAGTTATTTTATATAGATTTGTACATCAGAGTGAATTTAAAATTATTTAAACTATACTTTGAGTTCAATTCATTTTTTTGCATGTATGGCCATGTCCTGTGGTTGTTAGTATTGGTTATGGGTCTCTTTTTTTGGGGGGAGATAACAAGTGTCAAAAAGTTGCTTGTCAGCGCTAGAGTATAAGTTACTTTTTTCTGTTGCAGTGGAATTGCTGGATGAACCAGAGTCAGGGAACGGAACAGCAATGCTTTCTGAGTACGTTGAAATGTTTCCTTCCTTTCACAGTAGGAGAAGGGGTGGCATGTGCTTGCTAGGCTCCCTTTCACAGTAGGAGAAGGGGTGGCATGTGCTTGCTAGGGGAGCCACCACTTACATTTAGTATAATACTGATGTTCAGACTCAGCTGTGCCAAGTTTGTATTTCTCTGCTCTAAAGGTGAACAAGGTGGTGAGTGGAAGATCTCCACTGTGTAATTGGTTCTTTCAAGCTATTGCTTACAATTTGTCTCTCTCGCTTTTTTCTTTTTTTTTTTCCTTTCCACTAGTGTTCATAGGTAGAAGAATTTGCTTGGTTTGTTTCCCTGTCAGCTTGTGGTTTCAGGGAGGATTTCCCATGAGCATTTCTTCTGTGGTGGAACAGTTCCAGGACAATTGCACAGGGAAGGTTAGGTTTATACAGATGCTCTCGAAACATATATAAATGTGACTTTGGGAAGCTGGTAAAAGTACGTTTCAAACTCCTGCAGACCCATGCTCCTGGATGACTTTGCTTTGAGTCTTCTCACAAGACCACATTTGAATTGTTTATTCTTCCTCTTAAGAGAAGTAGGAATGAAGTGGTGTCTACTGAATAGTCCTTAAAATATAATTAAAAAGCACATAGAATTGTGATTAGCGGCAGTCTTCTTGCTTGCTGCTGTCTTGTCTTCTTTCTCCCTGTTAAGTAAGCCTACGTTCACACATAACTTAAATATGCTCACCTCGGTAGCAGATTCCTGTGTTAATCCTTTAAATATACAATTTTAGATAGAAGATTCTTCAGCTACATCTAAAGGCTGATCAGAAAGGGGTTTTTATGTTTTATTCTATTGAGATAGAGAGGTACATGATTGGAGCTCTATAATCATAATGGGATGGTTTTATATCAATATTAGGAAATTTATACTAATAAGTCATATTTCCCAGTGAAGTATTCTTGACTTCAGACTGTCCTGTTGTAGAAATTAAGCATCTTATATGTGACATCTCAGTCAGGTGAATGTTTACTAACTCTATTTTTTTTTTGGTCCTGAGATGCTACCATTTTATATGATTTAATAATTTCCATTTGATTACAGTAAAGTTTCAGTGGATATAACTGGTGATATAACTGGTATTGGTGAACTTGTAAAATCACCCTCCAATTACAGTAACTAACTAATGGACCAAATATTATTGATTCAGTGTAAAGACTTACAGATATTTAAATTGTGTGGTTCTTGGGCTCAGGTCAGGTACTTCATTCTTTGTACTTTGAACTCTTTCTTCCCTTGAAACCATTGCTGACCTTTGCAGTAAACATCTGTTCAGGTTCTGCTTTTACCTTTTACTGTCAGAATAAATGTGAAATTTTATCTGAAATAAAGGCCCTTTTGTGCAAAATAAGCTTATTTTTGGGTAGCTTCAAGATCATCTTTAAGAACTATGCACATTGGATTGGGAAGTTGCTTCACATGCAGCAGTTCATTGTCTGGACGCAGGTAGATGGCATTGAATGAAATAATTTTCTTCATTAAATGTCCATGCTGGTGGCATGTGTAATGTTTTGACTTCTGTGCTCTGTATGTTTGCCTTGCTCATGCAGGTTCACTTCAGGTGTTGAAGGGAACAAACAAGCAGACACAGGACCAGCAGCAGATTGTGGCGCACGGAGTTCTCCTTGCGTTTTCCTAGAGAGCCAGCTCAGAGCCTCAAATAGCTTAAAATACTCCCTTTCAGGTAATATGGATATTAGTCAAGCAATGTAGTTAGTTTGTCTTTGTCAGACAACATCTCTCCCAGAGGCTGTGATCTCTTGGTTTGCCTGTATCAGAACAGGATGTATTCTGAAAGAACAATGGTCACAGAAAGATAGGTACAGAGCCTGTTATCTGCAGACATGCTCTTTGCCTGCAGATGTTCACAACATCAGAAGGAAACTCGTCTGCTTTCCAGAATGTTTATCCTGTAGCTCTCATCAACTGTAGAAGTGGCTGAGCGGCACAACTGATCTTTTGGAGAAATCAAAGTGCTTCAGCCAGTGAGCATTCCTCTTTGGTGATTGTTTTAATCTTATACTTGTTCCTGAAATGTATGTGGCGTGATGGATAACTCAAAGCTCAATAAGACTATGGCTCTTTGGTTCTGTGCCAGCTGTCACATGCTTGCATTGATTTGGTTGTGTGGTGCCTGCTGTATACACATGTACAGGTACAGATCCAAAATGTGATCAGCTCGTTCTGTTCTCATAGAGCTGTGACAAGAGTGCAAGACCTGTGTAGGCTAAAGGAAGGTTAGCTGCATTTACCTGGGTAGTGGGGGAGAAAATGAGCAAGGGTTGATGTGATCTGGGAGAGCCTTTAAAAATTTGTTCTTACGATCTTTCAATTGACTATTATTTTAGAGTTTAGAAGATTGTCCTTCTGTAGTCATGGATGCATATTATTAACATTTGTGTCTTAGCTAAAGAGACGGGAGAATCTTTGAGAGCCCTTCTTTACTTGTTCATTAGACATTGTTAAGCAGGTGTTAAAAATACTAAAATCTGGCTTAAATTCTTGTTGCCCCCTTGATCACTTAGTTGTCCGTGTTCTGTGGTGTCACTGTCTGTTAGTTTTGTCTTTGCTACAGTTTTTTTACTTCCCTGGATAAGCCTGGGAATTAGGGTGCTTTTTTTTTTAGTGGATGTGATTTTTTTAAACTGAAACCTTTTTGTTTCCTTTGTGCATCATCACGACAAAAAGTAATGCTGCAACTCACTTTTAAACAGCCAGTTCTTCTGTCAAAAACCAGAATTTTGGCTCATGCTCTAGACTGTACACATCTGAATCAGGCAGTTCAGTAATCTGTCTGGGTGTGTTCAGGAAGTAGAGAGGGAAGAACTGAACAGCTAAACCAGAAGACTTAAGAGTGATTGTACAACTGAAATACCTACCTCGTGCAAAGTTTATTCAAATAGAGGGAGTGTCTAATGTGGGTTTTTTTCCCTTCCTTTCAGAGAATAAGGAAGAAGAGAATGTGGAGTACACAGTTGTTGATTGTTTCCAGCAGAAATTTGGCCCAGCAGTAAGTAGTAATGAAAGCTCTTACGCAGCATGTATGACTTCTAAGCCTGTTCTGTTCTAATTGCCAGTAGATCCATTAGGTGGCAGGATTGTGAGCACTGCTTCATGACAACTTATACTGGAAATCACTTTTGCAGACTGTAGTGAAATTTGAGTAATAGGTAGTAACTGGCTTCTTTAAGTCAAGTAGAAATGGTGTCTCTGGTGGCATCAAAGTATATTTAAAGCATATATTTCCCATACATGCAGGGAAAGACTGCGGTGCACTTGAGTTTGCAGTGGGTGGATGTGAATCTGCATCAGTGTGTTTTGGTTGCTGTTTTCAGACTCTGTATCACCAGTAACTGAGGTGAAGGGTCAGTACTACTATTTAGTGAACAATTATTTTGTTTAGGAAGGGAACAACATGAAGATTTGTTGGCATTTGGAGAGGGAATTGATTGTGTTGCTTTTGTAGGTGTTTGGAACTCGAGACGTGCCTGGACCTTTTTCTCTTAAATCATGTATAACAACATAAGCAGACTTGGTAGAAAGGTTTTGTTTCAGAACATGGAGCCAATGATGGATTTATTATTAAGTTTAATAGCATTTTTTAGAACCTGAACTAGACCAGCCATACTATAGGTCCTCCATGCTGTTTTGTCTTGCAGTAACATCAGTTGTGATTTGGGCTCTTATTATGGTAAATCTATTGCACATACAGAGGAAAAAGCTGTTCCCCACAGGAAGAGGTTTCCCTGCTTACAGAGGAATCTAACTGTTGCTTGAAAAAGAAGCTGGCTTTTTTATTTCTGTTTATGCCTTCTACTCTTGTGTTACGTGCACACTACAGGTTGCTTTATCTTAATTGTCTGAAAACTTTTCATGTCTGTGAGAGTGACAAGTTTTTCTTTTATACCTTAGAAAATGAGTTCTCCTTTTTAACTGAGAGGAACATCTTCTTTATGTGATCTTAAGGAAGTTCCTAAAACCTACTTAGGAAAATTTCTTGGGAGGAGATCGGGGGAGTCTGTATTCTTTAGTTATCCATAATCTCTGCTAAATCTATTATTGATGTTTCTAGTTGCGGAATTTCCAGCTGTCTACCTGTAACTGGACTGATACTGTGTTTGTTTCTCTTGGATCACTATACATCTGAGATTAATTGTGGTTTTGATCTGTATTTATGTTTTTAAATATGGATCATGACCAGAAAAATCGCAGTTTACTATTTGTCCCTCTGCTTATCATTCTCTGGCACTACTTATTTTATCCTTATTTTTTTCATTAGGTGCTGCACCTAAAACAGCAGTGTGTTGTCAGTATAGCAGCAGAAGGTGTTAATTTGTGTCGTCATGGAAAACTCTCATGGCTTGAGGTAAGAAGCAGGTCTTCCCCAAAATGTTCCACTAAACAGAGGCATAACTGAGAAACATTTGGGAATTAGCCTGTGTTTAAGACTTACTCACGTAACTGTTTTGGTAAGGGATATGATGTTCTTCAAGACACATCAGGTATTTCATAAAAGACTTGTTACGGAAAGAATTGTGCTGTTATAAGGCAATATATAACTTGTATGTAATATATACGTTTGTATATAACAATGTAACGTATTTGGTTTGCCATCTTTATGTACTTGTATACAGGTAGAGTTATTACACTAGTACAGCTGTTACCTATTGAAAAACTGCAAGACCTAATCACAATGCCAGTATAATTGGAGGAGTAAAATCCATCTAAAGATGATACAGTATCTTAATTGGCTGTTACGTTATCAACATCTGAAAAGGAAGGGACAGAAAGGAGAATAGCTTAATATATTAGCTCAAAATTGTCTTAGTTTATTTTTAATTGGTTTAAAAGTGAGTGTCTTTATCCAAAGCAAAAACTTGTGTGGGAGTTCATGCTTCAAACTTAACTCGTTTATTCAAAAGTAAGTGTCCACAAAATGTTTGCTTTGGTATGGCTAAATTGCTTTCAAATAACATCTTTTGTTAAACCACTATGAATTTGAACATAGGCAAAACCTAAATTTTATATCCTGTTTGATATGCTAGGATGGAAAATGATGTCCTTCATTTCTTTGGTAGTGGTCTTTGACAGTGAAAGGAATGTCATGGGCACAAAAACTTAGTTGGAAGTGGTTCTTTAAAAATGTCACCGTAATAGGTGTAGGAATTTATTTTAAGTACTGTGCATAGGGTTTGCTCTTGATATGTCTCAAAATGCTGTATTTAACTGTGTATCGTAGACTACTGGGTTGTTCTTTCTAATTATTGTGAGAGTCTCTGAGCATCTCTGGAAAAAACAAGACTTGTTTATGGATTAGCATCGAGGAAGCTAAACCTGCTCTCCCCAACATAAGCCTGTACATAGGAGATTATGGCTTGTGGGCAACGGTGCACTCTCTCCTACTTTCAAATCCTTTGTTCTTCTCTCCCTCACTCATTTTCTCTGCAACTGAATTTGTTGTAGATAGCAACAAAGAGCCGTATTTTTCTATTTGATATCTTCCGACTGGGACCTCAGGCTTTCAAAAATGGATTACAAATGGTGTTGGAAGATAAAAACATCTTGAAGGTAAGGGTACAGGGTGTGTGAGGACATTTGTGGTGACAGAGGTCATATACGTATATAATGATCTAGCTGCACCAAAAAGTTGCAGTTGGACACAAGTTTGTCTGACAGCTCTTCCTTACTTCAGGTTATGCATGACTGCCGCTGGATCTCGGACTGCCTCTTTCACCAGTATGGTGTCCTTCTCTTCAATGTCTTTGATACACAGGTACCCTTCAAATATTCTGGTTGGGAACAAAAATTTCAACAAGAGAAACTTCAGCCTTGTTCAGGGCATTCTCTCAGAGAAGGTTTAACATTACTCGAATGTGACAGTTGTTGAACTATGTAAACATAGCATTTTTGTTCTAGCTAAAAAGAACCGTCAGGCAAGGCTGATAGTGTTATTTAGTCTTGTGTAGACCCATTTTAAAAGGTAGTTAATATCTACTATTAGCAGCAAGTTTAATGTGGTTTTTTTTAAGATGTATTAACTGGTCTTGATCAAACTTGGCACAACCTGAGGCTGCTGTGGCTTAAACAGGAGCTGCGTCAACTTGTGCTTTATGTTCTTTGTTACTCTTTTTGTGCCTTTCACAAGTGTAGGAACAGATTCGGGCTACAGGTATCCAGCACTGGGAAGCACCTGCTAATAAACGCAGTGGTGGAGGTGAGAGAACAGGCCAGGTTACCACAAAAATCTGTTTTTGCTGGTGCTGGCCCTGATAGTTGTGGTAGTTAATGTGGTGTGACTAACAGGAGAATTAGAGCCTTTCGAGAAAGAAGAAAATAACATAATGGCTATGATCTTTCATACTGGGCATGGATATGTTATGCATAGTTATGTATGACTTGTCCTTGCCTGTATACTGACTTTTCATGTCATAGATATGACTGCTTACAGTAACTCTTCAAAGCCCTAATCTGGGCTACGTAGTAAGCTTTATACAGCAGAGGTTTCTCTCAGTCCCTTTCTGATCTTAGTTTGGCCTTTTGCCCCTAAAAATTATGTTATTCCATTACAGGTCAAATATCAGTCAGTGTGAGTGTTAAGTCTTGACTTAATGAAAAAAGTAAGGGTGAAAATTCCCACCAGCGCTCCCAACTGTACTGGCTAGAACATGTAACTGATACAGTGGAAACAACTAACCAGAACTATCCACCCTAGGGTCTGAGGTACACACAATTGCACTTATTGTTCTGTTGTCTTGGTATGAGCTGACACACATGCTTTTCTTGCACTGATAGATCTCTAGGCTTAGATTCAATTACTCTGATTCGTTGGCCTGAATCCTCCTTCTAATGTAAGTAAGCTAGTGAAGTAGTCTGGTTTTGGCTACCCTGCAGCATACCTGATATTGTGGAATTAAGCTGTCTTGTCTTCTACTCTGTACCACTGGAGTAAATAAACTGGGAGACACCTCTGAGCAAACTCTCATAGGTGCTTTTTGTGAAGCGCTTCTTAGGGACAGTTTCTCAGTGTTGTTAAAATTGGAACAGGCTGTGTGCACAAGTGAGACTGCTTAAAAAACACAGCAATGGAATGAAGAACTCTGAGTTAGATGGGATCCCTATTTTTTCCTATCTAATTTTCCCAATTAGAAACTCTACCTCTAACCATTTAGAAGAATGGAATATATTTCCATAGATTTGAACATCATCTTTGTTTTGACTTTGAGTAAAAGTAACTGATTGCTTGAGAAGGTCTTTCCTGAGGTGGTTCTTCATCTGCATTTGGCCGCTGAGAGCAAAAAGCCAGAGAAGGTTTTGGTGGTCAGAAGTACAATACAAAGGACTGTTCAGTAATGAGTGATGGAAACTTCCTCTTTACCTGGTGATTTGTGCTTACAATCCAGTGAAGGTCAGCTTCACCTGGGTCTCCTCCATTTTCTTCTCTTCAGTGAACTTATCAGTTTGAATTGTTGCAGTTCCTTTCTCCAGGTATGTTTCCTGCCACTTTTCAGCTAGTGGTTGTAGACTTCTTTGGACTGCAGCAATGTAGTCAGCCTAGCAGAAATATAGGCAGTCCTAGATTCTCTGTCCTACCACAGAGCACAGGAGGTCTCACATTTCTTTCTTAGTCCAAGATTGCTTGTTCTACTTGCGATGCTCTAACATTTTGCATTTTCTTCATAATACCTTCATACAGTCTTTATTTCTCGGAGATTCGGTAAATGGATTGGCTTAGCACTTTCATCTGGTAGGCTTAGCAAAGACATGACTTCCCTCTCAGGGAAGGCAGCAGTTAGCTATTTAGATGATGCCTTAGAGGCAGCTTTAGTCATTAATAAATCATACCAGCTTGTTTGCCTTTGCTGTTGGACAAGACGTTTCCCCCCCACGCCCGCCAAAGACTTCATAGATAAGTTGGGAATGGGGGTTTGGTCTTGGAATTTACCCTCGCTATAAGAGGCCAGAAGAGGTCAGTTACAATTCTGTGGTCACTATTGCAGGGGCTGAGCTGGTACTGCTAAGCACTATGTGGTCTGAACTAGGTAGCACATGGGCAGCGTGTGGTAGAACAGCTTGAAAAGTGGCTTCTGCTGTAACCCTTGCAGTAAAACTGGGCTGCCCTGTAAGCTCATGGTTTTGGTGGTGGGATTGTGGATGCCTGTGTTGAGTGTTGGCTCAAGGTTTCTCAGGAGGCAGTAGTGAGGAGAAAAGGGCAATGAGAGGTCAGTGGGGATTTCAGGGGACCAGAGTGGGAATCCGGGCTTCTGAGTAGCAGAGGAAGTCTGAAGGGTAGGTTGTTCTAATGACAGATAGCTCAGTCTCAGATTTTGAGTGTGGATGCAGGCTTTTTGGTTTTTTCTTCTCTTTTCCCCTGGTGAGTGGACTCTTTTCCAGGCTTCCCTTTTCCAGTCTTCTCTCTGCACCCATTGCAATAGTCCCATGCATCTTTGTGTGCAGCAGGGCTGTTCCTGCTCTTACTGCAAAAGGGTAAAAGAGATGAAACCCAGATGAGAAACAAGCAAACACCATGCCATGCAGTTGCTGCTGGAGGCTGTTGTCTGCTTCCCTTCTGGCTCTGTATGCTGTCAAAGATGAGTCTTGCTGGCAAAATCGGGTTTTGGGCAAAAGGTTTTTGACAACTTACATATTCTTTCATCATGTTTTCCTTAAACTACTTCAGGTTTTAGATAAAAGGCAAACCCATAAGTATCCTGGGGAAGTATCACTGTATGTTTACTCTTTTCTGATACTGCTCCTAACCACCTGCTGTCTGGAGGCAGGAGTACTGGTCTAGAAGGAGCCTTAGACTAACACAACATATAACTTATATGTCATTCTTAAAACTTAATTTACCCTTTTGTGTAACTTAACAGCTTTAAGGAGTCAGATTACTAGCTCTGCAACTGTATGCAGTCAAAACGAGGATTAATTTGTTTGCAGTGTACTTTACTTCTAATATGCATCCCCACTGTCAAACCTCCACATTCTTTGCCTTAGGTTAATGGCTGCTGGTCATGGCATATTGATCCCTTCCATCACAGGTTGCTGATGCTCTGCAGTTCTCAATGGCAACAGGTGGCTTCCTTCCGCACCGTGTCTGCACATTACAGGAGTGTTTGATGCAGCACTTGAAGATACCTTCCAAATGGGATGCCATCATGAAGTGCACGCAGCAGATGGCTTCAGTGAGTGATTCAGTGAGGCACCTTCTGAAGACTCAATTGTGAGCTGTGCTTTGCCTATCTTGAGATGTTTCTGTCAGTTTTTTTAAGAGCATGGCACTATGCAGTGGTCAAATTGCTGTAGTTAAGGACGTTTTGTAACACTGACTTGGGAGACAGATGCAAGCTTTAGTTGGCATCAGTGCTTATGCTGGTATTTCCTAATAGCTCATTTGAAATTGAGGGTTTGAAGAATGACAAAGCTTGTACAATAGAGGATATATATATAACTCGGGTAGAAAATGTTTTTCCGGATATCTTAATATATTTGACTAATTCTGAAACCTAGTTCCAACAGAACAAGTTGGTTAAAATGAATCCTGAGTC